GTTAATATGGCGTGTATAACTTTACCTTAAAACCTGTCACCTTTAATCATGTTTATCAACAAAGTTGCTATTTTTATTTATTATTTCAACAAGCGATTTGTAGCCTTTTTTGCAGACATAGTGAATACTACATTTTTCTGGTAATGACATGTTCAGTCTTTTTTTCTCATAACCAGATATCAAGGAAATTAATCTAGAGATTACTTCCTGTCTTGCTCGTCTTGTGAGAGGGGGAGAGTTATTTAATTTATTTTAAGTATCTCTGGATAAAAAAAATATCTCTGTAGTTTATAAAGACATCTCATTTTTGAAAATCTTAACGGTTATCTCTCTAATATGACAATGAAAGATGTTTCTATAAACGTGTTTAAATATATACTGCTCTATATATTGAGATTTCTCTCTCACTCAAAGAGGTATCTCTCTTCCTTAAAAAGCTATCTCTCTACACTGTAAGTATAAGAGATATCTCTCTTACTAAAAAAATATATCTTTGTTAAAAAAGATATCTCACTAGATTATAAATATGTATCTTAATCAAATATATATAGTTTTTAAAGTTAAAGATATATCTCTGTATGCTAAAGAGATATCTCTCTTATAAAGAGAACGTTTTTACAGGAATAAATAGTAAAAGGGCTTGCGAAATAAAATACTCTACCTGAACTTATACTTTACGGGTTACTTAGTCTAGTTTATTTTATACAGTTATAATTGCTGTTTTGCAAGTTATCTCTATAATGATTTTACCATTTAATTTAACAGTTTGTGAAAAAAATATAGAAGTACGAGATAGCAGTATTGACGGACACTTGTGATAACTAGATTTTCATTTTCCATATATATATTGTAGCGGCCACCCGAAATCAACGGCCACTTGCGGTCAGATTAATTGATAAATACGATTTTCAACTATATATTCTAACTGGAATAAACGGCCACCTTTTTAATCGCGGCCAGCGGAAAATTTTTACATTATGGACACTGTAATAGGCGGCCATTTCGTCACTTGCTGTGATTCTATTACGTCTTTTAAACTCATTCGCTTGGGTAATTATATCCCGATAGCCAATTTAACCCAGCTATTAATGCAATTAAACAAATTACTATTGGATACACTGAACTCTGTTTGTGTTTATGAAAAAAAAACTGTTAGATGAATTTGTTATTATTTTTCAAGATCACACATTGAAAAAATCACACAGAATATATAAATACAATTGATACTTTCCTCTACATAAAGAAATTCACAGAAAAATTTTGATTCCATGTAGAAACCCTAATTGCTACTCTTGTGAAAACAAAGTGCTTCATGTGGCATGATTATCTCGTGAATTTCACTATCAACAGAATTTTCGAAAGGGAACAACGCTCCACTGCCTTTGACACCTGTGTTGTGGAATGATTTTCAACTTGTGAATACATCTCTCTGGTCAACTGGTTAATTTTATTTGTGTGTTTTTGTATGTTACATAGAAATTCCTTAAGCTTTATAAACAATAAAATTTACCATTAATGAATGAATTCAGCAAGTAAGTTAATTGCCGATGAATTATTTGGGGGGTGGGGGTGGGTTACATATATATTTTTGAACATAATTATGCAAATGGAATTTTTATTGACATATTCTTATTTAAATTTCTATGATTTATTTTATTTACCACTAAAATGTATTTTTGTGTAATTCTTTTTCTTTATAAAAAAGGATAATAACACACTGTATATATTTCTAATTTAACTAATATATAGTAACAGAAACATCACAAAAACTTTTTTAAAAAATTCTAATTCTTTAAAAAAAAATTTTATTGAGCTTGAATTATTATTAATACACAAAAAGCCTTTGTTAAATTGACCTGTTTTATTATTTGATTAATTTAACTATGATGCTTAATGTTGGTTATTCATTGCCCGGATGTCTTTTTGAGGGCAAACTGGAATAAGAGGCCACCTGTCTTAAGTGGCCAGTTTCCAGACTTCCCAAAGGTGGCCTCTTAAAACAAGTTTGACTGTATATATTGTAGTGAAGTCAGCATTTCTGATTAATTGATAAATAATTTTATCAACTTATGTTTCGTTTGAATAACCAATTGTTATATCTGTTTTAAAGTAAAATTTTTAATTAATGGCAGTGTAACAGTTGAATAGAGGCAAATAACTATTTAGCTATTGCTCTCCATTCATTATTGAAGTGTCAGTACGAGTCGCATAAAAAACGTGACACTGCATTTTTTTTAAAATTTTAATTCCTATGATATACAACGTTAAAAACACCACACACGTAAAAAAAATCACATAGGAATATATTCAGAAAGTGAATAATACTATAATTATAAAATGTCAAAGAAAAAATTAAAGTCGTCGGAATCCTTAATGTTAAGACGGCCTTAAACATAAGTTATCTCATTAATCTCTATCGCATCTTCGTAATGTGTAACTATTTTTTCAAGAGGGAACAACCTGATGTTGAAGAAGTGAGGATCCGGATTCTGTTTGATGAAAACCTGAAAAAAGACAATATACAGCTGTATGTGTCACTTATGTTCCCACATTCATCTCATAAACAATCTGCGTGTTTTAATTTACAGTGGGAGTGTTCAGCTAACTCATTTATAGAGATTGATACTAGAGTTTAGGGCAGTTGTGTCTGGGTGATATATATTTATGGACATATTATGATGTACATGTAAAGATATATAATAGCTGTGAAATCACAAAATGTCGTGGAGGTTAATTTGTTTGCTTTTGGGGTATGAGGATACACACGAATTCATGTTCACCACAAAATGTAAAATGTTACACAAGTACTTATTAATCTTTGATCAACAAAATCAAATCCTTATGTTTAACCAAAAGTTTTTTCCTCACACCACGATAATTTGATCCCACAAAAGCATGTGATTTTACAGTATGTGTTACAAATGTTTCCAGATTCTTCTCCTGGTAAAAGAATCTGTGTGTTTAAATTCACAGCGGGAGTGTTCGATTAACTTAACTTTAGAGATTAAAACAAGGGATTAAGGAAGATAAATACAAAATGGATGCCTGGGTGGTAAATATTTATGGACATATTTTGGTTGCAAATAAATCAACAATTTCTGAAGTTTTACGAAATTTTAGACTTTGATGTTCAAACTTTATTCTTTCTCCAATCATCCTTAATCATAAATATAACTTTTCACCCCTTTAAATCCCCACAATATAAAAATTCGAATTCGAAAAATGAACATCTATGCGGTTAAAGTTGTTCATATTACTACTCATGCAATTCTTTATATGTCATTTTTAAGGTTTTTGACAAAAAATTGTATCATCTGTCTGTAAACTAAAGAATATTTTCACTGGTAATTGTAGATACATGTAGGATGGAAAATTTATAACCCCTTTTCAATTTTTTTTACTTTATAGAACATCTTTTTTTTACTTTATTTACACTTATGTGTCTGTTTATCTTAAAACGCATAAAAATTACGACGGAGAATGGCCGTCTTATTTCTCTATTCATAATATGACCAAACGATTGGCTTGCGTGATAATTTGCCAATGGTGTTTATGTATAAAATTATCACGCAAACCAATCGATTGATCCTAATCATATTCAAATGATATCGCTTCCGCCAATCCACACGCCAGATAAAAGACCAAGCTTCTTCTCTTTATATATTTTTCCCGCCCTACGCGCAATTTTTTTTTACCGTGCCTAACGACGATCTTTACATTGAAGGAGAAATAAATTACATTAACTATTAGAAATTTTGGAAATGTAAATATTTGGTTGTACATGTATACAGATTTAACAATATGTTTAACTTGTACCGTGTATTCATTCGGCTGTACATGTATACAGATTTCAAAAGGTTGACCGGGCTGAAACATGCTTCCATCAATCCTCTCTTCCGGCCCCCATCCACCCTGACAATGGTTCATCACAACACAGCCCTGGCTTGGGCGAGGGTTAAAATGGAAGCCATAGTCCTCCCCACATTTGAGGTTGATCGCAAATCTACAGAGAAGATTTGTATTTCATGGATTTATCATTGTCTATATGTAATTGTGTTTTTTTTTCTTTTAATTTTTTCTAAACTATTTTGCAGATTTGACCCTCAGATAATATTCAGTGACCTGGTTTTTGTAAATGATTCGATTCTTTTTTTCAAGATAATGTAAAAAAAATCCTTTGTTTACCTGAGCTTAATTATTCTAGCTCAGTTAATGCTTTTAAACATTTTAGTTATAAGATGTGCACAAGATAGAATATCATGTACCTGTCATCTGCCGTCACCACGCCTTTAATGATTATGGATCTCCCTGGAACAATCCCATCAGGAACTTTCGTAAAATATGGCACAGACTGTAATGTACATAAACATATATAAAATTTCAATGTCTTCAAAGTTCTATTTGCGCCCTCATCAAAAATGCACTTAAAGGTAAAAAATGTTGTTACTGTTATTTTTTCTACACTTTTTTACGACATGAAAAGTGAGTTTATTGAATCAAATTTGAATAAAGCATAGTAACAACGCGAAATGTAATAACAACGCGAAATTTAATAAACCTGGATTATTACATTTTGTGTTATAACATTTTGCGTTGAAATAAACGCAGAATGTAATAAGGCAAAATGTAACAACACACTTTTGGGGATTATAACATTTTGCGTCGCGTTCAATGCAAAATGTAATAACACGATTTTTTATTATTACATTTTGCGCTGTTACATTTTGCGTTGAGACTAAGCAAAGGCAGGGGCGCAAAATGTAATAACACATTTTTTCGTTAGCTACATTGAGTACAATTTTCAATGTTGTAGTGGCTGATGAACAGAAAATAAAACAAAATAAAAAATTAGATATACACAATTTCTTACAATTAATAAATTTTATTATATATTGATTTGATTACTAGTAGCTACATGTATTTCCAATCAATTTCATAAATGTATTCAAATTATAGTTGTTGCAATTAGAAACGCGCATCTGTGGGCAGGGTTGTTGGGGGGAATTGACCATTATGCTTTTGCTTTTTTTTATATAGACAAATGCAATGAATCTAAAAAAAAATATTCATTTGTACGGGCTGGTGTAAATTTATAGCGGGAAGGGGTTATTGACAATAATGATGCCATACTGTTCCAGGCAAATCCCCAGCATTGCAGACAAGCGAAAACAAAATTATATCACTCTCTTTCCATCCTTTGATAAAATGGATTGTTTCTGCATGTCCACAATGATGCAATAATAAACATACGAAGTAAACATCCCACCCTATCCCTGCACCTTCTCGCTTGACACATACATACACTTCTAATTTGTTAACCAATGTATACATGCCAAATATGCATATCAATAGCTTTTAATGAATCTATGGTCAATCTTTGGTAATTAAATATGTGTTATTGGTTAGAAATTTAAAAAGACTATAAAAATATGCCAATCAAAGTGAAATTAATTCTGTATAATTTTAAAGCACAGTGCATTCAATATTACTAAAATCAGAGTCAGAAAAACGATACTTTTAGATGTATTTATGTTCGTAAAAGCTCTAACGTTGGTCTCATTGTTTTAGTTCTAAATATTTTAACAGCGTGTTTCCCATTATGATTACATGAATATAATTGAATCAATTTTATGATCTTTTTTGTTAAACGCGGTCCAAAAAATTAATTATATTTTGTTTTATTATATATTGCTTATTACATTTTGCGTTGTCTTCAGTGCAAAAATAAAATAACGCAAAATGTAACAACGAAAAAGGACTTTATTACGTTTTGCGTTGATCTCAACGCAAAATGTAATAAATTTAAAAATCGCGTTATTACATTTTGCGTTTATCTCGACGCAAAATGTAATAACGCAAAATGTTATGATCCAGGTTTATAACATTTAGCGTTGTTATTAAATTTCGCGTTGTAACAAAGCATACTTAAAGATCATGATGAAGATATTTTGAATAGAATAAGATGGTGGAAAAGAGAAGATGGCAGTATAAGATAATGGAAGATCGGGAAAGGGAGAAAACTAAGGATGGTGAAAGAGGGGAAGGGGATAATACATGTAGGATTGTGAAAGAGGGAGGAGAGGATTGGATGGTGAAACATGAAGGAGGAAAGATAAGATAGTAGTTTAAGGAGGGGGGGGGATTTGTCGAGGAGGGGATAGGATTGTGAAAGAGGGAGGAGGGGCAATAAGATGATTGGAGAGGAATAGGATTGTGGAAGAAGGAGGCGGGGAAATTTAAAATGGTGGTTGAGGGAGTAGGGGAAAATAAGATGGTGGTGGAGGGAGGAGTGGGAAAACTATTGTCCAATCGGAGAAGGGGATAGAATTAAGAAAGAGAGAGGAGGCGGAATAACATGTTGGATTAGGGAGTAGGAGAGAATAGGATGTTGAAAGAGGGAGGAGGGGAAATAGGTTGATTGAAGAGGGGGTGTTGATGATAAGATTGTGGAAAAGGGAGGCGGATAAAATAAAATGGTGGTGGAGGGAGGAGAGGGAATATGAGTGTGGAAGAGGCAGGATAGAATAATGATGATGAAAAATGGAAGATGGAAAAGTTGGATGGTTGAAAAGGAAGAAGGGGAGAATAATATTAATGAAAGAGAGAAAAGGGGCAGACAGGATTTGAAGAATAGGAGTCAGTAGAAATTAAATTGATTGCGTTTTCAGCTAGTGTCAGTATCTTGAAACATCTTTTACCGTTTTTTTTTCATAAGTATTCTTAAAAAAACGTACAGTATTTTCTAAGATTTTTTTTTTAATCTAAATCTTTTATAGTTTTGTACTTTAAGAAATTCATTTATTGTTCGTTGGGCAATTATTATTTCAGACTAGCTTCACACACTTACAGCTGAACTCGTTAACTAAAAGTGCAGTGTTCTCCAATACAAAGGAATGTGTTAAAGATCACATACACAAAGATACTTACAAACAGTTATTCAAATAACCCGCATTGAAACTCAATCTAGAAAAGATATTGTATTTCGAAATACTCCTTCTATTATTGAGACCCTTCGTTTTTGACTTAAAAGATAAAAATCTTTTGGGGTGGTACTTTTGTAAAATTTGTTAATTCTAATAGCTTCAAAAGATTCGGATTTAAATATGTTCTTTGGTATAAATTTTTACGATTACGATATAAAAAAAACTTACAACACCATTTTAATAAGTAATTATAGAATAGCTCAAACACTTCCTCTGTTGTCATGTTGACATTTCAAATTTCTCTTTTTTAATATCTTATTCTGCAGAGACTTATCATAGAGCCTGTGTTAGTTAACTAAACAGTAAGTGAAAAAAAAACAATACGATCACAAAGAAAATGAAATTGATTACAACGATAATTCAATGCCATGTTGCAAAATCTAACATATACATCACCTCGCATCTAGCGTAAAGAAGCATATTACTTAGAAGGGGGAAAAGGTCATTGCTTATAGAAAGAAAAAGAAAACCTTTTTTTTTTTTGAACATCCTAAATATAAATGAATAATGCAATGGTTTTTGAAATATAAGGCATATAAATTTACTCTTTCTTCATGATATTCATAAGAGGCATTGATGTGGGGAAAACTGTGACCATTTTTTATTCGTACATGTTATCAAAATCTTCTGAAAAGCCCCCAGGGCTTCACAACTACTTAATGGCCTGACCAACCTACAAATACCAAAACAACCCTAACAAAAAAATACTATAGTTAACTATAGTTTACTAAAGTTAACTATAGTGATAACTTTGACACTTTGAAAACTTTGATTTACTATAGTGATAACTTTGACACTTTGAAAAACTTTGACGAAAACTTTGACACTTTGAAAAACTTTGACGAAAACTTTGACACTTTGAAAAACTTTGACAAAAACTTTAACACTTTGAAAAACTTTGACGAAAACTTTGACACTTTGAAAAACTTTGGCGAAAACTTTGACACTTTGAAAAACTTTGGCGGAAACTTCGACACTTTGAAAAACTTTGACGAAAACTTTGACACTTTGAAAAACTTTGGCGAAAACTTTGACACTTTGAAAAACTTTGACGAAAACTTTGACACTTTGAAAAACTTTGGCGAAAACTTTGACACTTTGAAAAACTTTGGCGAAAACTTTGACACTTTGAAAAACTTTGGCGAAAACTTTGACACTTTGAAAAACTTTGACGAAAACTTTGATACTTCGAAAAACTTAATCGAAAACTTGGATACTTCCAAAAACTTTATCGAAAACTTGGATACTTCCAAAAACTTAATCGAAAACTTGGATACTTCGAAAAACTTAATCGAAAACTTGGATGCTTTAAAACTTTGAAAAAGTTTATTGAAAACTTTGGCGAAAACTTTGACACTTTGAAAAACTTTGGCGAAGACTTTGACACTTTGAAAAACTTTGACGAAAACTTTGATACTTCAAAAAACTTTATCGAAAACTTGGATACTTCAAAAAACTTTATCGAAAACTTGGATACTTCAAAAAACTTTATCGAAAACTTGGATGCTTTAAAACTTTGAAAAAGTTTATTGAAAACTTTGACACTTTAAAAAACTTTATCAAAAACTTTAATTCTTCGAGAAACTTTATCGAAAACTTTAAAACTTGAAAAACATTATCAAAGTCTCTGAAACTTTGTAAAACTTAATCAAAAACTTGGATACTTTGAAAAACTTTATCAAAAAATTTAACACTGAAAAACTTTGTCGAAAACTTGGATACTTTAACCCTTCGAAAAACTTTATCGAAAACTTTGACACTTTAAAAACTTTATCGAAAACTTTGAAAACCTTTATCGAAAACTTTGAAAATTTAAAAAAACTTTATCGAAAACTTGGATACTTTAACACATAGAAAAACTTAATCGCCAACTTTGACACTTTAAAAAACTTTGGCGAAAACTTTGACACTTTGAAAAACTTTGACAAAAACTTTGACACTTTGAAAAACTTTGACAAAAACTTTGAAAAACTTTGACGAAAACTTTGACAATTTGAAAAACTTTGGCGAAAACTTTGACACTTTGAAAAACTTTAACAAAAACTTTGACACTTTGAAAAACTTTGGCAAAAACTTTGACACTTTGAAAAACTTTGACGAAAACTTTGACACTTTGAAAAACTTTGGCGAAAACTTTGGTTTTTGAAAAATGGCGAAAACTTTGACACTTTGAAAAACTTTGACGAAAACTTTGACACTTTGAAAAACTTTGGAGAAAACTTTGACACTTTGAAAAACTTTGACGAAAACTTTGACACTTTGAAAAACTTTGGCGAAAACTTTGACACTTTGAAAAACTTTGACACTTTGAAAAACTTTGGCAAAAACTTTGACACTTTGAAAAACTTTGACGAAAACTTTGACACTTTGATTTACTATAGTTAACTATAGTTAACTATAGTATTTTTTTTGTTAGGGAATTGTAAAAAAATGAAGAAGATAAATGCATGATTGACTTTTCTATGCAACCCTCGGGATTTACAGATTTTGATCATGTAACCACATCACTCCATTTCCTGATGATATATCAAACTTGAATCATTTCTAAATTATTTAAAACGTAGGTACTTACATACATTGGATAGAAGAAAAGGAACTGAAAAGTGATTATAAATAGAATGCGTGGAATAAAATAACCTGCACTGTGAATGCAACTTATTAAATATTTGTATTTCTAAATACCTATTTTTTTTAACTGTGAAATAACTTCTCTGTCTGTGCCTTTAAAATGATATATAATCTAAGTATTGCAAAACCATTTTTGGGTGATTGAACATCTGACATTGTTCAGCATTAAATGGTTTAGAAAAATAGAGTTTAAATTTTTAACATTGATATCTCTAGTCTCACTGGTAGGACCACCATGGCGATAATCTAACACACACATGAAACAAAGATTTTCAATTTTGCATAGATTTCGAAAAAACTCAGTATGCTATGATATAATCAGAAATTCAATTAGAAAAATTAAAATTTTTCAATTTTTTCCTCATAAGTTTTTACATTTTCTGAATTACGACTCTTGAGGAATAATTCTAATGACCCAAATACCTCTTTGAATTAAATGTTCCACCTTATTGATTATCTTCCCATTGAAATGGACTTGACCCTTCAATACTGAATAATTCTAAAAAAAAAAAAATCCCTTTATTTTAGGTTGTTTTTTGCCAATTAATTTTTTTTCTTAAATGGTCGAGTTGTTTTTGTATGTAGTCGACAATATGAAATTAACAGACCGGCTTTCAGACAGAAGGATACCGGTCGGGGATGATTCGAAAGCTCACTTGAGCTTACAACCCATTCAATTTGTTTGTTTTTTTTTCATTGCATTTCTTTTTTTTTTTTTGAAAAAGAATACTGTAAATTGAAGGGTTTAATCGTTGTCTTCATTTTGCTAGAATTTCAACTTATGATTTTGACATCGCTTGTTTGACGTTACTTAATTTGCCAATAACATTTTGTCACAGAATAGAGATTTTTTTTAACTCTCCCCCAACTGTTCATCTGAATTGGTTAAATCTTATTAAAAAAAATTTTTGAAGAAGTAATCTCGAATGAATAATTCTGACTATTCAGGAAGAAGAACTGACATGTGTAGATGAGGAAAACCGTATATTCACCTTAAAACAGTTTTGTTTATATAAATTTTGTTTGAACATTGTATAAATGGTGCCTGTTTTGGAGAGTAACATTTGAAATTGACACCCCAAGGAAAAACATTGTCAACCGCCGCGTCAGCGGAGGTTGACAATGGCTTTCCGAGGGGTGTCAATTTCAAATGTTACCCTCCAAAACAGGCACCATTTATTTTATTATACTGAATGTCTTTAGGACGTCAGCAAAAAAAAAAAAAACCGTCGATCATCTTTACGTTTATGTATAGAAAGCTTTCACACTCACCGGGTCACTAATCTCCTTAATGTTTGTTTGATACTCGAATTAGAGTCATTTATCATATAAAGTTTCGTTATTTCTGGCTTGCAAGCATGTTTCCTACACTCGCAAGCATGTATCGTCTGTCGTTTGTTGTTTTCAAGTAAGCGATATACAGCGCAAGCTTTTAATGACGTCAAGTTAACTCCGGTTCTTTCAAACGCGCAACTGACGTTTGTAGAATTCTATGGTGAACCGTACGCGCATAATTTCCATGCTTGTGGCATAACTGTTGTGTTACCCGTTGTCACGTGTGTTTCTAAGGCTCAGGGTAATCGAACGGATTGTTAACTGTATCTAAACCAATCATATTTAAGTATTTAACATGAAAGTATAATAATGTTAAATATCCCTTTCGAGAAATTTTCACTCATATAAAGGCGCCACCACTTAAGGCTTGCCGGTGAAGGACTGACTTTATTTTTACCTATACCTGATCTCATGAACATTGAGCAGTGAGGGATCTTTTTCAAATTAATTTTCAGATAAATATCTCGGCCCAAGGAAATCAAAAAGTGAGCCGTTGTCAAGAAAAAGAAAAAAGGAAATAATTGTTTGAAAATATCTGTAAACGATTTTTTCTTCGCTAATCCTCAGCAGACTCTCTGACCAATGCGGTGCTAAAAATGTAAAAAAAAAAAAAAAAAAACAAAAAAAACAAGAGAGGTGAAGTTTAGGATAAAACATAGAAAAAACACCAAGATCACATAGGCTGATTTTACCATTTTACTTTTTCTAATAAAATTCACCTAACTTTTAATATATCCCTTAAGTTTATATTACACGCTCAGCACCAATTCAGCATATTCTGAAATTTGTTTTCATCCGGAAACCTTAACTGTATTTTGTTCGCACTTGTAAATTAATTGAAATATGAATCATGTTTTCTAAGTCTAATTTTTTTCCAGTTCTTAGGAGAAGAATTTATTAAGTTTCTTCCAAAGAAAAAAATTGTTTGTATCATCTGGTCTTAGATGCTTTCAATTACATGTAGTGCCTTTATTAGAATTTAACTCTAAATGCATTAATGATTTGCAGACATGTTTATTTCCTAGTAAAGAAATGAAATGGTGACTAATATTTATTTTCTAAAGTTCAAATAATTCACCTTACTTGTGACAATTGTACACATCTAGGTTAAGGACTTCCATGATAGATACATGTACATACATGTACCTTCGGTAAATCGATCATGACGTCACGGTAAAACTGTACAAATGCTCTCAGCACTTTCTGGGCTATGGAATTTGTCTTAAATAAAGCACTATTAATTTCAACGTGAGCAATTTTCCGATCTTTGTAACCAGAAAAATATTTTTCTAATGTTAAACATGTCACATGACAAACAGGTGATGTAAGTGAAGTTGTTTTGGTTGAACTGGGCAGACACCTCATACATACACATGCAATATTAGAATTCCCATTAAATTAAAACGCATGCTAATAAAAATAATATCTACATTATATTGATTTTTTCGAAATATTTCGAGGCGTGTTTCCTTTTGGGTGTACTGAACCTAGATCCGCCCCCTGTGTTCTCGTAAAATTTTGAAAATGCAAAAGATGATAACACAGTAAGATTTCTGAAATAAATAAATTTAACAAAACGGATAATTAATTAGGCCAATCAATAAATTTATTTAAGTAAATACATTAGCATGACATTGTGTTCTCACAATTTTTGATAAACATTAACAACACTGACAACATTTTACCGGCTTGACAGTTAAGATAAAAAGGAAAGAAAATATTATCGCATGTATTACGTTGCACAAAGCTAATGCAGAACTCAGTTTTTCGTCAGTATATATAGAAGAATTAGCGAAAGAGAGAATTTGCACAACTATCATTGGTAGGGAAGGAAATACTGTCGCGATGAGAGTAGATCGTAACATTTTGAATGCTTTTAACTTCCAATTACTTCCCATCCCAGCATTTGTCTGGTTGGGATTTCTCGCAGAAGTGTGAGACGAAAAAAGAAGGACTTGTTTTCGTTCAGAATTTGTTGGTTCAGTTTTAAGTCCATGTCGGGTACGAATGACTCCTCGACCAGAGAGATCCAAAGGTTCTTTAGAACCTGTTTGATATCGTGAGGTTCCTTGATTTGATGATGAAACCCCTGATTGGTCTGTCAAAGATGTGGCATTTCTTTGATTTGATGATGAACCCCCTCGTTGGTCTGTCAAAGATGTGGCATTTCCTTGATTTGATGATGAACCCCCTCGTTGGTCTGTCAAAGATGTGGCATTTCCTTGATTTGATGATGAACCCCCTCGTTGGTCTGTCAAAGATGTGGCATTTCCTTGATTTGATGATGAACCGCCTGGTTGGTCTGTCAAAGATGTGGCATTAGACGAACATTGGTTTATTTGATTAACTTTTATTTTGTGACATTTTGAATTTGACATATTCACATTATTCTTCACAATGTTGGATGCACCATTTGATGTTTGGGATGTGATGCGAGTTTTGATTTTGTGTGAAATTATCAAGTACATTATAGACATGATAATGATCTCGAGTGAAAATAATGTTCTGGTAATATCGAATAATAAGCTTATTTTATCTTGAAACAATACCAGAGCCCCACATCCTGTTGTATTTTTCCGAGCATGGGAGAGGAACAATGGTAAAAAAATAAGAGTAGAAATCAACACAGAAAATCCAAGAAAAACCAGTCGCGCTCTCACCCCAGTCATCAAAATAAAGGCTCGGTTCCAGCTAGTCTTTAAAGCGCAATAGCGCTCAAGGCATATGTAAATGAGATGGAGGAAAATGTTATGTCTACAAGTGATGAACAGAAGAAAAATCATCATACAAGCGTACTCACCGTATTGTGTGTATGTTATTAGAAAAAGATACAAAAAGTCAAAAAGTATTTCACTGCACGAGATGATGAGAAACACCAAATGCTGACTGCGCTTTCGGAGATATTTGTCTTTGACCAAAATGATGCTTGCTGCAAAGTTGGTAAGAATTGAAATACACAGTATAACGCCAAAAGTAGGATAGATATAACGTCCGCTTTCTCCAAAAGGATCCTCATGAGTCACGTTAATTTTTGTATCTAATGTCGAATGATTCATTTCCATTGCCGTATTCCTGAAGTCACGAAATTATTGTTCAGGTAACCGTGATAGTTTGTCTGATAATTCTACCTTACAACATTTTCCTTCTTATATATATACACTATATATATATACATATTGCAATGTCACACTCGCTTTATTATGTTTTTTTGATTTGTAACGGTGTACATTTGTACGAAGTGAGTTTTTCTTCTAATGAGTTTATGAAACGCAGCTCCAAACTTATAGGAGAGAGAGTAAGAGAGATGCACATCATATGTGTATCGCTGTACATTTCAACTGCACAATTATGTAGCCAATAATAATTTAATTTTAAGTTGTAACACATGGAAAAAAAATTGTGTACATGTATGTCTTAAAAGTTGCCTATGTCAAAATGAGTTACCTCAAAACGTAGTAATCAGCTTGACGTTTCTTTTAAATATGCTCAAATTGAAGCCATTTTGGAAGAACAGTTGCTGTCTACACTGCTTTGCGATTTATAAAGCGTAAACTGCCTCAAGTTATGTTAAATAAAAAAATAGGGTTAAAATTATCATTGTGCTGCTCTACAAGTTACATTGTACAAGTGCGTTCCTGAACGTAAAACAATTAATTATAATATATCTTGCACCTGGTAGTGAGAA